ACGCCCTCAACTCAGCCACGGGATTTTACAAGGAGTTTGCGGTTCGTTACTGCTATTGGCGTACACTGTTCTCTTGTGTTCGTTTGCTTGCTTTGTCGCCAACGACATTGCTCCCCATGCACATACACATCTGTACAAGTGTACAAGGACGCACAGACACACATTAACCTTCACTCATTCTCATTGCCTCGCTCCCACACCTACTGCCATCTTTCCACCCACTACCCCCCTCTCTCTCTCTCTCTCTCTCTCTCTCTCTCTCTCTCTCTCTCTCTCTCTCTCTCTCTCTCTCTCTCTCTCTCTCTCTCTCTCTCTCTCTCTCTCTCTCTCTCTCTCTCTCTCTCTCTCTCTCTCTCTCTCTCTCTCTCTCTCTCTCTCTCTCTCTCTCTCTCTCTCTCTCTCTCTCTCGCTCTCTCTCTCTTGACAGGTTGAGGCGAGTCGGTGCCAGCTCGCTGTTGACGTGCTTCTGTTTGGACCGGGCGAGCACGCCATCGCCACCGTTGGCCAAGCGTGCCAGTTTGGGGGCGGTTCCCTGCTGCACTTCCCTGGCTTTACGCAACACAGCGCCAGCGAGCTTGCGCGTGTGCGTAAAGATCTGCAGCACTATCTGACGCGCCCGCTCGGACTGGAGGCCGTCCTGCGTGTGCGCACGAGCAAAGGCATCACCCTCGACAACTTCCACGGCCACTTCTTCGTCAGGGCCCAGGTGGGCTTCGTGTCTTGTGTTTACGTGTCCGTGTCTGTGTCTGTGTCTGTGTGTGCGTTTTTATGTGTATGCTTGGGTGTCTGTGTGCCCGTGTCTTGTGTTTACGTGTATGTGTTTGCTTGGGTGTGTGTGTGTGTGTGTGTGTGTGTGTGTGTTTGTGTTTGTCGAAGTACCTGACCACCATTGCCTCTGCTTATTGCCCACCAAACCACCACGACACAAACTCACCACAAACCATTGCCCCTTCCCCTACCCTGCCCCCCCCCTCTCAACCACCTTTCTTCCACCCCAGGATCTGCTGGCGCTTGCGAATGTGTCGCCGGACAACGCATACACGGTGCAGCTGAAGATTGACGACAAGCAGGCGCAGCCCATCTCGTACATGCAGTCTGCCCTCCTGTACACGGGCAGCGATGGCACCCGTCGCATCCGCGTGCACACACTCGCGCTCCCCGTTGTCCGCGACCACGCCTCTGTCTACGCCCACGCCGACCAAGTGGCAATCCTCTCCCTCCTCGCAAAGCTCGGTGCGTACGTTTGTGTACGGGCTGTGTGTGTGTGTGTGTGTGTGTGTGTGTGTGTGTGTGTGTGTGTGTGTGTGTGTGTGTAGTTTTGTGTGTGGTTGTGCGTGTATGTGTTTGTGTGCATATGTCCGCATATGCATGGTCCATTTTTGTTCTTGCCTGCCAGCGCATGTGTGTTGTTTTCACTTCGCTCACTGTTCCACCTCGAACCCACCTATCGTCCCCGTCCTTCGCGCCTCCTTGCTCTGGCTTTCTGCTCTCAGGGGTTGACCGGGCGCGGGCGCAGAAGACCTCGGATGCGCGCTTGGCCATGCACAACTTCCTCGTCGACGTCATCAAGGCATACAGGAAGCACTGCGTCGCAAACTTCCCATCAGGACAGGTATGTGTGTGTGTGGGTGTGGGTGTGCGCGTGTATGTCACTGTGTGCGTGAGTTTGTATGCGCGCGTGTGTGTTTGTGTGTATGTACGTCAATGTGTGTGACATCGTCTCCACTTGTGCGTGAATATATCTGCCTGAGTGTGCCAGCCTTCACATCTCCCCCTCCCTCTCACACCGCGTTTTTTCATCCACCCCCCCCCCTCTCCCAATCACGCGTGCCGATAGCTGGTGCTGCCGGAACAGCTGAAGCTCCTTCCCATCTACATCCACGCCCTCATGCGCCACGTACGACAAGACAACATGATTGCTCGCCTTGAAGTTATCTCGCTCGCTTGTCGTCAATGCAGTGGGGCTTGTTAGTTGTGCCGCTTCCTCCCTTGCCTCCCCTGCCTCGCTTCCTTGCTTTCTTTCCTTCGTCTGCACGTCTGCCGTTTGTCAACACGGTGCTCGCTCATGCTGCTGGTCCAATATGCCTTTCAACCCTCGCATCACACACACACCCAACCACAACCGTGTTTTCTCTTCTTCTTGTTCCTGTTCTCCCCAGGATGCGTTCATTGCGGGCAACAGCATCCCGCTTGACGCGCGGTGTGCCGCCATGATGAAACTCAAGACCATCCCAATCAAGTGAGTCCATGTACGCTGTTGGTTGTGTGTCCATGCGTGCGTGTGTTGCTGGTTGCACTGTGTTGTTGTCGCTGTGCTGTGTGCTCACCAACCGGCTTGGTTGTTCCCCTCGGTATTCTGTCTGCCTCCTCTCCTGCCTGCGTGCATGTGGCCAACACCAGGTACTTTATCGACTACGTGTATCCGCGCATGTACTCGCTGCACGACATGGCTGAGCGCGTTGGGCTGAAGGACGAGCGGTCCCGCCTACCCATGCCCGTGCTGCTGCACCTCTCCTCGGAGAAGCTGTCGCGTGGTGGCCTGTACATGCTCGTCAACTCGGAGCGGCTGTTCATCTTTGTCAAGAGCGACGCCACGCCCGCCCTGCTGCAGGACGCGTTTGGCGTCCCCGATGTGGCCCAGATTGACCTCGACATGGTGGGTGTTTCCGTGTGTGTGTGTGTGTGTGTGTGTCTATGTCTGTGTGTGTCTGTGTGTGTCCATCTGTGTGTGTCTGTGTGTGTCCATCTGTGTGTGTCTGTGTGTGTTTGTGTCTGTGTTTCTGCCTGTGTGTCTGTGTGTGTCTGTGCGTGTCTGTGGCTGTGGCTGTCTGCGTGTGTCTGCGTTTCTGCCTGTGTCTGTGTCTGTGTGCAGTTTAGGATGAGGTTTGTTGAATCCTCAAATGCTGTTGCCTCACACGGCTCTCACCCTCTCCCCTCCCGTTTCTAATGTCTCGTTCCCACCACGGCCACTTCGCGTCCTCAGGTGGCGTTCCCGCGGACGGACTCAGTGCTGAATGAGAAGATCCGCAACATCATTGCCGGTCTGCAGAACCTGTACCCGTTCCACACGCCAATCACCGTCATCCCAGAGGCAACCCGCTCCCGCGATCACTTTCTCAGATACATGGTGCGTGGCATGTGTGTGCGTGTATTGTGAGGTGGTTGTTGGTGTAGTGAGGCAAGTCACACATGCACACACACGCACACGCACACGCACACATGCACACACACACACATGTACACGTGCCAATCGCAACGCTCAACCCATCCCTCCTTGCTCCCTGTGCTTGCATTGCATTCCACACCAGTTTGACGACCGCGGCCCGTCGTCGCTGTCGTACTACGAATTCCTCAGCGCCGTTCACGCAGAGGCCTCCCGATAAGCAGCAGCAGCGGCGGCGACGTATGTGTGTGTTCGTGTGTGTGTGTGTGTGTGTTGCGATTGCTGTTAGCCTGCTCCTTGTCCGTGTTTGCGTGGGGTGATGGGGGCTGTTCACGTGGGCTGTGTTGTGTGTGTCGTGAAGAGAAAAATGAAAGCAACATCAACAACAAACAACAACAAAGCCACAAACAACAACAAATCCAAGAAGATGAAACAGCGGCGAAGAGAGCTGGGTGCGTCGCTGGTTGCGCGCGGGGATGTCGAGGCAGGGGATGAGCAGAGGAGACGGCTCGTTGCGAGCAGCAGCAGCAGTGATGGTGGCAGCAGTGATGGTGGTGGCGACTGGCTGCACAACGACAAGCTGAGGTTTGCCTGGGCGTTTGCGCTTCACGCCTGCGTTGGCAATGCCATCTTCTACACCATCAACAGCCTGTTCTTGGTCTTGCCCACCTTCATCGACCGCCCCGTGCCGGAGGGCAAGGCCATCGCCGCAGACATGAGCTTTGTAAGCCGCTCTATGTGTGTGTGTGTGTGTGTGTGTGTGTGTGTGTGTGTGTGTGTGTGTGTGTGTGTGTGTGTGTGTGTGTCTATGTGTGTGTGTGTGTGTGTGTGTGTGTGTGTGTGTGTGTGTGTGTGTGTGTGCGTGCGTGCATGTGTGTGTGTGTGTGTGTGTGTGTGTGTGTGTGTTGCGCTGGGTGTACTTTGCTTGCAGCCACCTGCGTGGCGTCTCCATCCTGCGTTCAAGCTACCTCCCCCCCCTCTCCCCTTCTCACCTCACACGACGCGCGGGCCATGCCAACAGACGGCGCAGGTCGGCAACGTGCTGCTGCTGATATACATCTTCTCGCCACGGCGGCCGAAACCAAGCTCCCGGGCGGCCATGATCGCGATGGTTGCCATTGCGCTCGGCTGTGCACTGGTGATGGCGTTCTTGTGGAAGGAGACCGTTCGGAACGTGAGCGTCACGCTGTGGACCATGGCAGCCATCACGGGCAGTCTTGGCTCGCTGTCGAACCTCTTTGCCTGGATCTGGTGTTCTGAGCGGGATATTCGCCTCGTTCCCGCCCTCTCAAGGTGTGTCTGTGTGTCTGTGTGTGTGTCTGTGTGTGTGTGTGTGTCTGCGCCGTCTGTCTCCCCCTATGTGTGTGTGTGTCTGTGTGGGTGTGTGCCTGCCTTCGTCTGTTTGTCTGTCTGTATGTGCTGGAAACACGTTTTCAAGTGATGCATGCGCGATGCAAGCATATGCCTTCCTGCCTGCCGTCCCGCCGACCTGCTTGCTTAGCTGCCATCCATGTTCGACTCCTCCAACACAGCCCCAAGTTTACACTCACTCACACACTCACACACGCACACACGCACACACACACACATTCTCGCAACACAACCTGTCACAGCGGGATGGCGGCAAGTGCGCTGATCCCGTCGCTGTTCTCCATCATCATGGACCCAGGCAAACACCCGCGCTTCAGCCTGCAGGTGTACTACCTCATCGCCGCCGGCTTCATGGTGCTGTCGGCCATATCCCTCGCCATCATCGAGATTGGTGACGTTGGGCGCGTGCACGCCGGCGAGCAGCCGCTCGACTACGTCGCCAGCATCAACCGCGATGGCGCCATTGCACTCGAGCCGGAGTTTGATGAGGACTGCGAGCACGAAGCGAGAGCAGGGCACAGCGCCAAGATCAAGACGAGAAAGGCGCACACTTCCACCATCAGCAACAGCGGCAGCGGTAGTGGCAGTGGAAGGCACAGCAACACCACGCCCACACCGAACAACAGCGACACGTCACGAGAAGACACGCCACTGCTGCTGCCCGCTGCCGGCGCCGGCGGGTGGAGCGATACGCGCATGGTGACCGGGTACACCCCCAACGCGCCGCTTGGGCGTGCCATATTGGACACGCTGCACTCCCACCGGCGGCTGGTCGGGTTTATGGCGGTGCTGTGCTGGTGCGGCTCGCTCATCTTTGGATGGCAGCCGGGCATTGTGCCGTATCTGGTCCCAGACGGCCGGCCCCTCGTCACATACCAAGTCTGCGGCCAGGTGCGTTGCCTTGCGTGTGTGGGGGGGGGGGTGTGGCGGAAAGGGGGTATGCGATGACATGTTTGTGTGTGACCACTTTCTACTGTGTGAGAAGCTTTGCGATTATGTATGTGCATGGGACGTGTGTTGTCTTCAATCTCTCACTTGCTCACCATCCCGCCTCATCCGCTTGTTTGTGTATCCCGCCCATGCTCGCGCGCCCTTCAGGTCGCAGACGTCATTGGACGCGGCGCCGCTGGTCTCGCCGTCTTCAAGGGCAAGCAGGTGCCGTGTTTTTTTGTGTATCTGTGTTGTGTGTGTGTGTGTGTGTGTGTGTGTATGTCTGTCTGTGTGTGTGTGTGTGTATGTCTGTGTGTGTGTATGTCTGTGTGTGTGTGTGTGTGTGTGTGTGTGTGTGTGTGTGTGTGTGTGTGTGTGTGTGTGTGTGTGTGTGTGTGTGTGTGTTTGCGTGCATGCACGTGCCCCATTTGCCTTGCTCCGGCCTCACTCACTTTCCTTTTTCTTCACACACACACACGTACCCACGCACACACCACGCACCAACCCCCCTCCCTTCCAAGATATTCACCTTCTGCTACGGCGTGGCAGCCACGCGCATCCTCATGAGCGCGGGCGAGTTTGTGCGGCAGCAGCACCCGACGCCGATTGCTGTCGACCGCATCCTGCAGCTGATGGGCGCCTCCACCAGCATGGGCAGCGGCTTTGGCGGCGTGTGCGTCTACTTTGTTGTCCGCGCCACCCAGCACAGCTGAACGTGTGTGTGTGTGTGTGTGTGTGTGTGTGTGTGTGTGTGTGTGTGTGTGTGTGTGTGTGAGTGTGAAAGAGAGATGGTGTGTGCGCGCGCATGAAGGGCGTACGCGGCACAAGAAAATCTACGGCTAGCTCTGGCTGAAGCTGTTGGCATGGTTGTTGTCGAGGTTGCTTGGCTGCTGCTGTCAATGTTGACTGTTGACACTTGACTCGACTGTATCTATCCATTGCAATACACAAGATGATGGCGACGATGATAGATAGCATTGATACAAGCATCGAAGATGGCATTGACATGAGCATCGAAGATGGCATTGACATGAGCATCGAAGATGGCATTGACATGAGCATCGAAGACGGCATTGACACAAGCATCGAAGATAGCATTGACACAAGCATCGAAGATGGCATTGACATAAGCATCGAAGCACACACACACACACACACACACACACAACACAACACAACACACACACACACATACACATACACACACGCACAACACAACACAACACACGCACACACACACACACACACACACACACCGCACGATGCTGACGACCTTCAAGGCGATGACTCATCACTAGGCCTCGCGTGCATTTCGTCATCGTCGAGTTGTTGTTGTGTTGTGCAAACGCGCACTCCATTCATCCATTCAGCGTCATTCACCACCCACACCTCTCCGCCCCCCCTCCACACTCCACACTCGCACGTTCATCATGTCTGGCACTGGCTTGATTGCTGCGATCAACGCGGCCACCTTCGAGTCTGAGAAGGTGAGAGAAGCAAGCGGAGGCTGTGGTTGTGTTGTGTGCGAGCAGATTGTGTGCGCGTGGATTTCAATGAACTGCTGGCTCATCCCCTTCGATGCGTGCTCACTGTCGCTCAAACACACACGCACTCATGTACAAACACATGTACACCCTTGTTCACCGCGTGTAGGAAGCGGCGATCGAGAGCTACTTCCGCAACAACCCGCACTGGATCATGACCCCTCAAGAGTTTCAGCTCGTTTTCTCCCAGCTGTCCTTTGATTCCACGAAGCAGCAAGCGGTTGGTCGCCGCCATGCCGTGTACACTTGGTGTCGTGCTGTGCGTCAGTGGCCGTGGCTGTCGCACATGTGCATGTCTGCCGGGTTGCTTTCGACACGGATGCGAGCATGGTCGAACGACGTCCATGGCCGATCCTCTCTGTGCATCATACTCACCTGTAACGCAAAACTACGCACGCGCACACATGCGCACGTGTTGCAGGCTGGTGTGATTGCGCGCACCCACCCGAAGCTGACGTGCGCCCACGTTGCCGCCGCACTCGGCGCCTGCTCCCACGATTCCACCAAGGTCAGGCGATCCTGCCCACGTGCCCGCGTGCCCTGTGCTGCGTGTCACACGCGTGCATGCCACATCGCGTCATGCTTAGTTTCGTGCCTTTGTGTCATCTACATTGGATGCGATCGCGCTGCTCATCTTCCCCCGGTCACGTGTTACTTTTCACCCACTTTGCAGGTCGCCATTGCCAAGCTGTTTGCGCCGGGCGTCATTGACAAGCACAACCGTGCCACAATCCTCTCAAACTTTTCGTTCTCCAGCTCCAAGTCCGAGGTGTGTGGTGTGGTGTGGTGTGTGTGTGTGTGTGTATGTGTGTGTCGTGTGTTGCGTTTGACGGTTCATGGTGAGTTGCTGCTGGCATGCTGCTCGTGCTGCTGGCACATTACTGTGCTCCCACCCCAACAAGGCACCACCTTCACACATAGAGCCACCTTCAACACAAATCTCCGCTTCAGGTGAACGCCGCGCTTGATGCCGCCCCGGCCACCGCTCCACCCAGCATGGGCAAGGGCATGGGCATGGGAACAGGAATGGTGAGCCATTTGGCGTCGCACACACGCCTTGTTGCTCTTTTATGTTCGCCCACTGCTGATGGCGTGCACCTTCTGGCTTGTGATATCCTGCTCGCTCACTCACTCACTCACTCACTCACTCACTCACTCACTCACTCACTCACTCACTCACTCACTCACTCACTCACTCACGCACTCACTCACACGCTCACTCACTCATCCACTCACTCACTCACTCACTCACTCACTCACTGATCTCGCTGTCGTACTCCAAACCACACACAACACAACACACAATCGCAGGCTCCGCCCCCAGCCTCCACTGGTAGTGTGGTCGTGTGTGCATGTGTTTCCATGAATGTGCGTGTCAGTAGCATTCTTCCTTTCTGGTCTGGTTTCACCAGGTTGTGCGTGTGTGTGTGTGTGTGTGTGTGTGTGTGTGTGTGTGTGTGTGTGTGTGTGTGTGTGTGTGTGTGCGTGTCTCATGCTGTGCCACGCTCCAAATGCTTGATCACAGGGCCACCGGGCTTCTCTCCATTCGGTCAGCCGCCACAGCGGTCCCCGTACCCACCACAGCAGCACGCTCCTTCGTACCCGCCCACATCCCAGGGGCCGTACCCACCACAGCAGCAGCAGCCAGGCAACCCTGCTGACGTAAGCACGCAAGCAGTGGCAATGATGCTATGTTGTGTAACATCATGCTGTGCTGTGCTGTGTTGTGTTGTTGCGTCACTCATTTATTACTTACACACCGCAACGATTGGTGATACTGCGCCGACGCTGCCACCGCCCGATCACATGACACCAGATGCAGCAGGCGATGCAAGGCATGGGCCAAGCCATGGGTCAGGCCATGGGCATGATGCAAGGCATGATGCAAGGCATGGGGCAGATGATGCAGGGAATGAACCAAGGCATGGGACAAGGTGCGTTGCCTCGTGCACAGCGATTGAAGAGAGAGTGGGGTGGGGTGGGAGAAGGAGGTGATGACTTGGGCTGATGCTTTCGTTGATTTGCTCACATGTTCTGTTTCCCTTACATTTTCACACATCTGCACACGTGCACCATTCATCACACACACACACACACACACACACACACACACACACACACACACACACACACACGACGATGAGGGTGGGGCTTTCCCTTCAATTCCACTAACATTTGCCAATTTGCATAAAAATACAAGAATCAGCTAGCCGAACGCGCCGCGGAGTAGCAGAGGGTGTCTAATACCGTGTCTCTTTGTCAATAGGTCAGGTGGGGATATCACACATCTGGTGGTAAGCAAATGGCCGACGCCTCTTAAGGGCCACCATTAATTGCATAACGCGCGCAGCTCAAGACTCCGCCCCTTCTTGACTGGGAGACCCCGTGTTTACACTCCGTACCAGAGAGGGTAAACGATCTGGATTTAACTAGAAACTATCTGCTTCACACACACACACACACACACACACACACGACACACACACACACACACACACACACACACACACACACACACACACACACACACACACACACACAACGCACGTTCACATGCACAACACATGTGCACAACAGGCCACCAAGCGTCCTCCGGCCCCTATGGCCAGGCTCCCCCGCCTGGCCCTTATGGACAGGCGCCACCCCGCGGTCCTTACGGCCCATGAATGACACACACACACACACACACACACAACACGCGAGCGTGCGCCATGGGCATGTGTCATTGGCATGATCTTCACCGCTCCCCTTCGAACAGTTGTTACATTTGCGTGTTTGCCCATTGTTTGTGCTTTCTGTGAATTGCACGGTTGTGCTTGCTTGTTTGTCGTCTCGCATGTGCTTCTGGCTGCTGCCTGTGCTTGTGGTGTGACGTGTGACTCGAACTCCCATGAAGCATGCCACCAGAAGCAAACAAGAACCAGTCGATCAAGTGATAGGTGTGTTTGGGGGGGGGGATGGTTGTGGGACATTTGCAGCCCATAATGTCACGATTCACAGCCCACAGCGCACATTTGGCTCGGGTTGAGGGGCCGATGACGTCATTGTCACCAACCAATAGCACCCAACCATTGCATTCCACCCCGACACACACGAGACACTCTGTGACACTCACTCACACGACACACACACACACACACACACACACCCACACACACACACACACACACACACACACACACACACACACACACACACACACACACACACACACACACACACACACACAACAGAACACACGACACACACGCGCGCGATGCGCTTTGCACTGCTGGTGGTGCTGTTGTTGCATCTTCTGCAGACGCTGTCGCTGCACTGTGCTGAAGCCGCACCGTCTCCGCAGGTGCAGTGGAGCACGGGCGACATATCGGGGCCCATATCTGTGGCACAGGATGTCATGCTGGAGTTTGACATGGACATTGTGCGCGGTGCAGGTGTCATTACCATCACAGACGGCGGCAGCGACGTGCACACGGTGGCTGTGTCCGACATGTTCCACGTCTTCGTTGACGGCAACTGCTTGACCGTGAACCTGCCCAGCGACTTGCAGCCGAGCAGCACGTACTCCGTGCTCATGGATGCTGGTGCGGTGCGCGATGCGAGCAGCAACAGCGCATTTGTCGGTGTGGCCGACAACACCACCATCACCTTCTCCACTGGCAGCGTCATCTACGCTGGACCGCTGGCGGGTGACGGCAAGTCTTCGGGCTCAGGCACGCTGGCTGACCCATACCAGTCCATCGGCCACGCATCCATGCAAGCTGGGCCTGGTGACACGCTCTACATCACCTGGGATCGAAACAGCATCGCCAACAACAGCAACAGGTACAACCTGGCTGCCGTTGGCTCCGCAGCAGCGCCAGTCTTCATCAAGCCTGCGCCAGGTGTGACATGGCCATACCAGTTTGTGTTTGCCAACGCGTGGCGCCTGGACGGCAGCAGCCACGTCGTGATTGAGGAGTTCACCTTCGATGGCCGAGGCGCCCTCTTTTCACACGAGGAGATGCTGTGCAAGTATGTGTGGAACTCCAAAGACGCCAAAGCGCTTCTCGGCGGCATCGCCATCAACCTGCGTGATGCCACATACGTCCGCATCCGCAGCAACGTCTTCCAGCACCTTCAACAGAAGGCGGTGAACATTGAAGACGGCAGATACGTCGCCATCGAGAACAACATCATCTACGACGTGGCCACCAAGTCTCTCAGTGGCGGCCACGGCATCATGCGTCAGCAAGGGAGCGGCACCTTCGGCACGCCCGACGTCGCCGACACGTACCGCTGGGACATTCGCGGCAACCTCATCTTCAACGTGGAGCAGCGCATCTACTCGTGGGTGCCCAGCAAGGGCTACCTCAACATGGTGCTCGACGAAGGCAAACCCATCAACGTTGATGAGACCGGCGATGTGGACATGACGACGCGCATCACCAACAACGTCATTGCATACAGCGGCATTGATGCCATTCGCCTCAAGAACACGCCGAACCTGGAGGTTTCCCACAACTCCATCTACAGCGCTGACCCGCTCGGCGACGGCATCACAGACCGCGACGTGAGCGGGTCCTTCGCAAACTTCACCATCCACCACAACCTCATCATGACTGCACCCAACACGTTCGCCCTTGAGCTGGATGACACCCTGCCAAACGCAGCGCACTCGTTTGGCAACGTCGTCTTGGGTGGCGCGATCAAGCCAGCCGAACTTCCAGGTGTGACCGCGGTCACCAACAGCATCATCAGCAGCCTGTTCGTTGACCCTGCGGGTGGTAACTTTACGCGTGCATCCGGTGTGCCTGTGCTTGGTGCTGGCGTGGATGATGGCGAGCTCCTGTTCCTGATGACCATGGCCCGCAATCATAACATCTCGGTGCACCCAGACGACTGGGTTGCTGACCACGTCCGAGACGCCCAAACCCTTATCGACAACATGCCCAGCACCGTGTTCACGTCACGCGGGCAGCTCGGCCAATCCGCACTCGAGCCACACCGCATGGCGCTCTATGTGGGTGTGAACGCAACGTGGAAGCAAGAGTACGGTGCTGCTGCAAGCCAGGAGCTTGTTCTTCCCGAGGACTACTGCACTTGGCTTGACGCTGCAGCTGCACGATACAAGCAGGCCAACGGCAGCGACTACAACTGGATCCGGCATGGTGACAGCGTACTTGCACTCGACTACGCCGCGCGCAGTGGCGACCTGAGTGTGTATGTCGTGCAGACGCCACACACATACACGCAGACCCGCAAACTGGCACAGGCACAAAGCCCTGTCCACGTTGTACTCGCTGGCGATGCGGTGATTGACATGCGCAACGCAACTGGCCTGATGTCGTGCACTGCGTTTGACCTCGTGGTCGCGGACAGCGTGAGCGGCAGCTACGAGCGTGTGGTTGTGGATGGGCTTCCAACAAGTTGGACATACAGCGTGTCCGTCGTGCATGAGCAGTCTCCACTCGCTGCATCTGCTGGCGACACGGTGGATGTTATTCGCTTGACCATCGAGTCAAGCAATGACTCTTGCAGCTCTACAAGCACAGCGACTACTATGCCATCTACCACCACCGCCACCGCCGCCACCACCACCACCACCACTACCACACATAATGGCCCCGGTGATGACGCAGGGTCTGGCACAAGTGCCATGACTAGTGGTGCCATTGGCGGCCTCGTTGCTGGTGTGCTGGTGGGAGCTGGTATCGTCATTGCTATCGCCTTCAAACATGCCAATCCGGCCCGTCGCCACAGTCGCGTGCGCTGCCAAACCACCACTGCCGCCGATGTTCCTCCTGGTACCGCTGCTGCTTCTGCTGATCAGCACACGGTGATCCCACTACAGGAAGCCCAGGGCTTTGTGATCGCCCACACGCAGGAGCAATTGAGCGTGCAGCCAAATAATCACAAGGGAGATTAAGGATAAGATGACAAGGTGGCCATGGTGTGATGGGGTGGGGTGGCTGAGAATGCCGCTCATGGACGGCAGCTTGATGTAACTTGAGGCTTCCTCCTGCTCTTCCCTCGTTGCAACTTTACTCTGACCTCTGTCTGTCTGTCTCTGTCTGTCTGTCTCTGTCTGTCTGTCTGTCTGTCTCTCTCTCTCACTCACTCTCACTCACTCTCACTCACTCACTCTCTCTCTCTCTCTCTCTCTCACACTCTCTCTCTCTCA